CTGCTGGCCATGGATGGTGCGACTGTTAAAGCTTTGGCTTTGCCAGTGAAACTACTATGTATATTGGCCCTAAGGCCAAGTTGTGATTTAGATTTGCGCTTTTGGGTGCGTTTTTTTAGCGCTGCTTCCTCCAGGGTCCTTTCCTTTTTGTCCTGTCTTGCGCTTGTCCAATTTGCCAGTTTGGCTGTTTGGCTGTCAACCGTTTCCTTCGACTTTCCTTCGCCGCCTGTCACTCGTTGGCCACAAGGCAGTCCTTTGATGTCGCATCCTTTGGCGCAGCTATCAAATTTCTTCTACTTAAGCAGCAGCAAGGACACTCCACTCTTTTTATTTCGTTTTGTTTCAGTTTTCCACTGCTAAGAGCGAAATAATGACAGCCTTGGTTTGGTATCTCCAACTCTTTGCTCGGATTTCTTCCAATGAAGTCAACGCATTCTGGCAGTCCTCGAAATATGTTGTTCGCTTTGTGTGTCTGCTTTTGCCTTCTTTTTTTCTGGCCCGTTAACACGGCATATGAAATATGGATTCACTTATGCATCTCTCGCGACCCTTCGGGGCCATTAAGTCACCACTCCTCCTGTTGTGGGCCAAAGGATTCAATTTTTGGGTTGATAGTGCCTCCTTTTCTGCACTTTCTTTTCCATTTCAACAAAATACCAGGGTGAAGCTGTGAGTCTTTCTCAATATTTACTTCTTTGCCACGGCTTAAGAGTTTCTACCATCTTGCATATGAAAAACAGTTTCAAAACATTGCCTTAAATATAATTTATTTACTAAAATATAGGGCAATTCTATTCCAATTCCTAAAAAATTTAAATCTGAATAATTATTTCAGTATTTAGCTCATTTAAAAATAAGAAACATAAAATAGGTGCTTTGAAAAAATATATAAATATTTTTGCTTAAACGTTAAGCAACCAATTGAATTGTTATAAAACGCTGTAAGAGTTAGGAATTGCTTTTGTCATTTTTAATGTACCTGTAACAAAAGCTTATGCCTTATATTTCATGCCTTATATTTCATTGCCGCATTTTAATATCCGGAGCATAATTGTGGGCTTAAGGCCAAAGCCTCTTAGTATATTGTATACAAGCTGGGCGCATGATAAAAACTCTGCGCTTCATTACCATTCATTTAGCATTAATTGTTTTGTGGGCAACTTTTCCTATTTGTGATCCAAGTACTTAGTAACACTTCTTCCCCGCAGCCCCGTTTCCACGGAGCTGTATTAGCAAAAGATAAACAATTTGATCTAGCTCACAGCTTAGCAAAAAAATAGTCATAAAGACCAAGTAAACTCCAACAACGAAATCCGCTTTGAAACGCTCGGCAACTGCATATGGAATATGAGCAGAACAATTATTAGATGGAAACCAACTGTTTTTCCAGCATACAAAATGCCCGGGGCGCGGTCAAGTGGGTGGGAAAAGACAACCAGACGATTCACCGAGCTTCAAGTGATTTCGAATGCAGCAACAGATCCGAGAAAACTTCCAAATGCTGGGGCCCAAGCACAAAAATCATTGTGGGAATAATTACACAAGAAAATAAGGATTTAAGTAAAATGTACCTACAAATAAAGTCTTTTTTGTCAATGCTTTGAATGTTTACCCACTTTATCTGGAATAATATTTCTGTGTGTATAACCTGTTAAATAAATCAATGTAAAGCATTTTGAAAAATGTTTTTAATTTCTTCTTGTCAATGTTTATTAATATTTATGGCTTTCGAGAAAAATTCTTCACAATTTCAAGGGTCAGTTTGAGAAATCTCTTCAAATTTCAAAGTTTATTAAATTGTTAAACATTTTTAAAAATGATTTTTTGTTTCCATTTCTTTTTTTCAACATATATATCAAAAATTTATGGGTTTTCAATTAAATACTGCACAATTTTAAAAGTCAACTTTACAAACCCCATTAAAATTGCTTAATTAAATCAATGTATTAAATATTTAGAATATGTAGCAATATAATTTAAAGTCGTTTTTTAGGAAGTGGTTTTATTCTGTTCATAGCATTGGCTTATATTTTTTTGAGTGCAAACTGATAGTCCTTCATACATTCACACACACATATATTTAGCCGCACATGTGTGGGTGAGAGTACATTATAACAGTGGGCAAGTGCAAACATTAAAGGCAGCACATAAAATGCTTTCTTTGTGCATGATAGCGCGCTCAGTTTTTCAGAAACACAGGGCAAGGAAATGCAAAAACAAATGAAAGCGAATGCCGTCGGAAGGGGTAGTTGGGGGGCGGGGTGGTAGAAAAGCTTGGAAAAGTGAGGACTACTGAGGAAAAGGTATTGTTAAGTTGCAGGAAGACCGCAACAAACAACACAGCCACATACAAAAGCACTCTCACATGAGTATTTTCTGGACGTATTGGATATGGACAGCCGGGCGGACAGACTGCCCAAAAAAACAAAAAAAGAAAAGCATTTCATAAAAGATTTAACATTCAAATGTGCAGATATAGAGTCTAGAGTCCAAAGTGTGTGGAGTGTGCTCTTCTCCTAAATAAAACTACTTAAGCACATGTGAATGAACAGCATTAGGGATGCAGGATGTGCACTTTGCTTATGTTTATTTCGCATGTAAAATATATTTCACTTGAAGAAACAGGGAGGAAAATGAAATGCCACAGCGTTGTCATCACAAAAATATGATAAGCGAACTGCTGGCAGGAAACCTAAGCATTTTCCCTATTGTAATCCAGAGCGACTTTTCCCCCACCGCATTACTACAGAACATTGGCGAGTGACCACTCGGCTTTTTCCACCAACAAAGCCCTGTTCGTCTTGTTTTTTTCTCGGCAGCTTCTTCTGTTGCAGATTCTTAATCAGGACAAACTTATCCGCTATGCAGGGGCATCAACAGCAAGGCTATCAAATAAACGAATCGTCGGACACGGCCAAGAAGTAAAAACGGAAAACGCCAAAAAAAAAAAGCTGAGGAGGCGAACCGACAGCAGACACTATCTTCATGTCCTTGCAGGCGGAGGCCCCACCTGAAATCCGAAATCCGAAATCTGCCGGCAGAACGTAATTTAAACAGCACGTTTTGCATGTCGCTGGCCAGGACTCTGCCCTCAGCCGTAAAGGGCCGAAGCCCAATCCTCAAGTCCAGCTCAGGTTTTTGGCCACCGCTGCACCAAAAAAAAACAATTTTTTAATAACCTTAACTTCTTGTTAATTAACAGAATTTTAAATTTGACAGAAGTAATTCTAACCAAAGCTCCTTGAACTAGCAAAACATAGCATTTTAATTTGATTGCGTAAATAAAAAATAAAAAAAAAGGAAAGGACTTACAACTTTTTCTTTATAGAATTTTGATTTGAACTTAAAAATTATTCAAACAACCATGACCCAAACAAATTGTTCTTTTTAAAAATCTTTTTATTAATTATATTTAATATATCACGATAAAAGTATTTGACTTTTTTCTGGAGGATGTTAGAATGTTGAACTTAGGAATTTTTAAGTTAGGCCTTAAACCTATTAATACATATTTCTCTTTAATATATTAATTTAATTTCGCCAATGCTCAGCACCCGTAAGTATTTCTCTCTGTGTGTCTTTCTGCGGACTGTTCTGCTTGTTGTTCTGCGCTTCTTTACTCATATTAAATGCAAAAGTCATTGAGCGCAGGACAACAGTGAGGTGGGAGGGGAGATTGTTAAAAAAGGGAAAAGGGGAGGGCGAAAAGTGGCAGAGGTAACGGCCAGGGTAACAAAAAGAACTAGTTTATTTCCACATCCTTGGACATGAGTTTGCTGTAAAATTTCGTGTTGATGATCTTACTAGGTTATGCATTAGTTTTCGTGCTCGCCGTAAGCCCCGTCTTAACCCACCAATGCCCCTCCATATCTGCGCTTTCACTTCCGCTCGTTCCGATTTGCATTTCCCCCCCCTCACAAACCACCCCCCATACCACCCCCTGTACAGCTTTGATTTTTTGTGTCCTGTCGCTGCGCTAAATCTCAACAACATGCATGCAGATTCCAGTTTCTACGGCAAGAGCAGCTCCTTCGATGTTGCTTGTCTTTTATGTTTATGTAAATTGAAGTTTGGCAGCAACAGCACACCCATAAATATTAAGTATACGTGGCATTGTCCCTGCCTCTGTTGTGCTTCGCAAATTGCAACATTTTAGTAGCCCAGGAGGATTTGCAGCCATTGACTAAGTGCTGCTGATGTACAACAAATATTCTCCGCTTACAGCCAGCCACCTTGGTTCGATATGGATAGAACATCTCCCAGGTGTTTGGCCCTAACTTCGCTTTGTATTCGTTTTCAATCTGGGGAATTAATCAGCCTGCCTAGGACTATTTGTATTTGCAGGATTTGAGAAATGCAAAACGAAACACGAAATAGTTTGATGTTATTTAAAAACTTTTTTTAATTAACTTTTAATTTTTAAGAAAACCTCCTGCTATATAAACCTGCATAAAATGTTTTTCATTGCCAATTTTAATATATCATTTTTAATTATTTGTTAAAAATATGAGGCTATTCCATAATTTTTGACTATATTTTTTCCATTTTTTTTTTTTTTTTGTATTGCTAAAAATTTTAGAATTGTTCTTTTCTGATCTTTATTTCAAGTAACAAGTTCATATATTTAAAAATACAGAATTTTATGTGTAGCAAAATTTAGACTTTTTTAACGTGTTTTTCCTAGTAACTTGACCGACAGGAGAGCCACAACTAAGAGCAATACTGTTTTGTACACCTGGCGACCTAAATTAATGATCCCCATTATTTTTCGGATGATTTCCAAAAATTAAATTTTTGCTCGATTTCTTGTTTTTTTATAAAGGGTTACATCAATTTTTTTGCAAAAATGGTTTTAAAAAATAAAATTCCAGGTTTGAGTGCCAAGTTGTTAGGAATTTCAATACGAGTTCAACAAGGTGTGACATTCCATATTTACGCTCAAAACAGTGTTATTTTTACCAAAAAATATATCTTTTGGGACAACAAACAATATCACTTACCCGCTGATAAACGCTGACAGCCGACGCAGCTGCGGACTTGAGGCTTTGAACGCTGTAGGTCGGTGGTAGCGGGGGCGTGGCAGGGGCTCTGCTGGGCAGGGGGCAGGCAACTTCCGGTTGAGGCATTGGCGTTGGCGGTGGCAGCGGCGGTGGCTGCAACAACTGCTGAAAGTGGGTGAGCAGGGGCGGCGGTTGTGGTGGAGGTGGAACGCTCTTAGCCTGCCACATTGGCTTGCAATCCTCAATGGGCGGCAGCGGAGGTTGCAACTGAAAGTGTTGCTGTTGCTGCTGATTTTGCTGTTGCATGGGCAGCATTAGAGGCACAAATATCATCGGTTGAGCAGGGGAGTTGTTGTAGATTGCCGGTGACATGTTGCTGCCGCAGTGTTGCATGTTGCTGTCGTGTATATTGTTACAATGGGAATGGCAATGTTGTTCTGGTCCAAGATTGCTCATGTAGGTACTGGATGTTGCAGTAGTTGGTGGCATAAGGCAGTTGCCATACGAATAGTTCGAAAAAGAGGATGTTGCAGATGGTAACTGTTGCAACTGCTGCGTTGTAGTAGTCTGCTGTAGAGTGGTGATGCATCTAATTTGCTGATGTTGCTGCTGTTGATGATGTTGCTCTTGTTCATGTTGATGTTGCAGCTGCTGATGTTGCTGTTGATGCTGCTGCTGGGGAATTTGGTAGAGCGGAGGAGGCGGCTGTTGATGACGCAAACGCGGCACCGGCAAATGTTCATATCCCTGCTTGCAACAACGACATTCCTGGCAGCAACCACTGTTCCTGTTGCCGCCGTTGCCGTTGCTGCTGCTGCAGCAATTATTGTTGGAGGCGGGCATCGCATACGGCTGGCTGGAGGATCGGGCCCCGGACGAGTAGCTCAGCAACTTGGGCGCCTTACCAGGCGGCTGCCACTGCAGGATGCCCAAGAATCCCAGTCCCGCGGCGGGACTGGCCGAAAGTCCGGTCGACAGGTTCGCTATCTTGGTTGCTGCTGCTTGATCAGATCAGTTCAGCTGTAGAAAAGAAAGGTTTAACAAAATTATTTTAAATAAAACACCATTAACGCCTTATATTTTTGTTAAGTTCCCTATGAATGTTTTTAAAAACATTGTTATTTATTTATAAATCCTGAAAGATAAATAGTCATAATCATGATTTATAATTCGTAAGGTAAAAATCTCAATTGATCCAAAAATGTTTTTTATGTAAAAGAACCCAATGTAAGTAAATGCAATAAAACAAATAAATGAAATTAGCATTTAAAAGTATTTACATTTTCAATGAGCCAGTCCCAGCTACTGAATTTCAGAAGAGGGCTTAAAACGCCAAATCATTTATTCTTAATGAGTCAAGCAATTTATGGCCATCTTGTTATCATTCCTTTGGCCTCGGCTTTCTTCTTCCCTTGGCTTCCCATAATTTATGACATATTTTTGGCACGCTTGATTAAAATGTACGCCTTATTAAAACAATTTTTGCAAAAACAAGGTTGGAGGCAGTGGCTCTGCGAAGTTATCCTGCTGTGGGTGAGAGGTTTAAGCTCCTCGACTACCGGTTTTTCGACTACCGGTTGCCATCGACCACGACTCACCCACGATGGGTTGGCACTCGTCGGAGGCTTTCAGAAATCACTCAAAGTTTGTCAAGAACGAGAAAACCAATTTTTCAGCTGAGTGCATTTTAATTTCGTATACGCCCCGTGTGCGCCTGTTGAGTTCTGCAGCCCGTACACCGAGGACCGAGAACCGAAGACCGACTGCCTAACCCCAAATTTGACCCCAGATACAAACAGTGCTGGGGTAGGTACTACTTATTTGTACCGAGGTAAGGTAAAAGGTATTTGCAGGAATAAATGTCTTTGTAAGGTAAAACGTATCAAATTTTGCCAGAGTCTAGGAATAGTTAGAATGTGGTATTATAAATTTCTTGAAAAAATATTTTTAAAAAATATAATAAAGCTTTAATGTCTATAATCTTAAATTAAGATGATTTTTATTACCCATTTCATAATATCGATATCAAACGATATAATAATCGTTTCTATTGCTCCTTCTGAAATATTGGTTTAGTTTAGAATGTACTAGCATATACTATCTATCTGCAAAATACAATAATCTAGGTACTTCCCAACACTTGAGAAAATCCATCTGCGTTTGCGGTGGAAAAGTTTGCTTTTCATTGCAACACGCTTGAAATGGCAACTTGGACAAACAACACGGGCTGGAGCAACCATAACACCAGGAAAACCGAAAAACTCGAAGGCAAATGCAAGAAAAATTGGCTGGGCCTATTCCTTTTTCCTTTTCGTTCCTCCACTTTTTCACATTTCCCCTTTTCCTTTCCTGGCCAATTTGCATGCCTCTGTCCACAGTTTCAATGTTGACTTCGCCTTCCCTCTCCATGTTCTTGGGACGCCTAAAAACGCATTTTGAGCAGAAACGAATCCTTGCAACAGGCCAAACAATAGAATATTAGATGTGACAAACCAGGTGCACATATAGCAAATGCCTCTGGCTCAAATACTGGGCCCAGAGATGGTTAAATGTTGGACTCCCTGCTGGTCAAAAAACCTCATTTAGCAACAAACATGGAGAATCAATCAGGACCAGCAGTCAATCGTGCACTTGATAGAGCGACTACCCAAATTGCTGTTACAAATGAGTACAGGGATAGTGAAGAATTAAAGCCATCAATAAGGGGTTGTTTGGAAACAGGTTCTAAAGATCTTTTAATAGGGATCAAGTCTAGTCATAAAGTAGCTCAAAAAATAGGCTTTAGCATAAGCTTAAGAAACTTTAAGTATAAAGACGGTGGAGCTTAATAATCGGTGCAAAGCAAAATTTGTATATTGATATAAGAAAATATTTTATTGAAGCTAATGCAATATTTAATCTCACAAATTATCATCAATGAAAAACATGATTTTCATAAATCTAAATATATGTAAGAATACCTAAAAGCTTTTATTTAACTCAAAATGCAAACACTACAAGTGATATTTATACAAACACCACACTCCAAATCGCACAGATTATGCCCTTAAAAACATCTTCTTTGTTTACACAGGAAACGGAAACAAATATCTTAAGAACAAATTTCCATAATTCCATAAATACTTGGCCCGCATAATGAAAAATATTTGCACAGCTCAAGATCAAAAGTTTCGGTGGCAGAGAGCATGAGAATAGTTTAGTTTCTGGCTTTTGGACAGGCAAGACAGCAACTTTCTGACTCTTGACGGCGATTAAGATGCCAGGAAACGGAAAGTTTGCTATTTTGGCCAACAATTTTCAGCTGCAATCGTGTTCAATTTGTGTGCACACAATAACTACTTGGATACGTGTGTGCATATGCAAGTTTTGTGGCTCTCGAGCTTAATTACTAAAACCGAAAGGGGTTTAATCCAGGGCATAATCACTGGCAAGGACACACAGCAGGATCCTTTCGAAAGTATTTGTTTTGTGGCCCCGGTTGTCCGTGAAATACATTCGTTTTTTGGGGGACCAGGGGGCAAAAGGGCCAAAAAGCTGAAAGTACAAAGAAACTTACAAAAAGAATTTGGTAGCATCAAAGCAAAAATTTTTAATGAATTTCTTGCCGGGCAGCAGCGGCAGCCGTAAGCCTCCAAAACGCACCGCACGCAAATGCAAAAGGCGCAAAAAGGACCTCTCTGCTCTCTGCCCTCTGCTCTGCTGTACCCTGGGAACGGGAACGGGAATGCAGGGTCAAAGGTCCGGCCAGGAACGGCTCCACTTCATCTTCCCTTTGGCCCGCTGCCTCGTCGCTGGCCTTAATTAAATTTAAATATTTTATCACCGAAAAATTGCCAGGCGGCAAACGGCAACTGCGCAACAACAAAAACAAGAGCAGAAGGACATGAAAAGGGTGCAAAATGTGTGGGTGTGTGTGTGGTGTATGCTCGAGTGCAGACAGCCGAAAAATACTGATGTGGGTGTATTTTTCATTATTTGCCCAGCGCTGCAACTTTTTTGCGCCCCCACATCAACGCCATCCACCATCCACCATCCACCATCCTTGCCATCGCCACACTTCATATTCAATTGTGTTGAATAATTGCCATACGGTTTTTTGACCAACGGTTTTTGACACTTTCCTAAAAGGACACACGCGCCCTCAAGTGCCACGCCCCCAACCCACACAAACACACACACACTCACAGTTTGAGAGCCGCCCTCATGCCACATTGGAAGTTCGGTTTCCTCCTTTTTTTTGTCCCACAACGACCGAAAAGTGAGCAAAACACTCGACCAACTGTGGGGGGAAACTCCGAGGACCTCTGGACACACAACAACAACAAGCAGGATAACGACAACAACAGCAATTATAGGGGAGCTGCTGGGTAACAAAAACAAAACATGCCAAAAGCGTTTTTTGAAATATCTTTGTAAATATTTAAAATGTTCTGTACATGCGGGTGCTTCAATCAAACCGAATCGCCATTGGTGGGGTAGCGAAGAAAACCAGAAAGGACAGGATGTCCTGAAAAAGGGGAGGAGGGTGTTCCGGAAAAGGTCCTTTTGGACCAGGACACCAAGGCTATTGTGCGCCAAGCGCTCACCCCGGAATAAGTTTTAAATAGTTTTTGTTGGCAAATGTCAAAATGCAATTTGATATTCATAAATTAATGAAGCGCCATTGCAACAAAAAATCTCTCCTGGATTATCAACTTTTTACATAAATTACATGGGCGGGCTTCAAAAGGGAAAGGGTTGTGATTTAAATCTGGCATTTAAGTGTGTAATCCCCGGCTGATTATAAATGCATTAGAATGGGACTTCAAATTAGAAATTCCTTTCAAATTCCATTGAACTGCCACTTGGGTTTTGGACGAGCAAGGTTAAAGTTTTAAACTAATTAAAACTCATTCAAGTTTCGTTTTTTTGGTGAAATTAATGTCTTTATTCTAAATCAATGCTTATTGTTTTGGAATATTGCTGGCAACGTTTTCTTAAAGGCTAAGCCTAACTAATAAAACATTTTATTATTAAAAAAAAGATGTTGCAAATATTTATTATTCATCGTTTTATTTTCGACGTAAGACATTTGATTTTGTTATTTTTTTTTAAATATTGACGACACCATGAATTTAATTTCAATGCACTCTAGTCCTTAGGTTTTATTATTCCATTTTCAAAAAATTACATTGGATTTTGATCTATTAAAAAAATAGTTTCTATAAAAGGTAATTAATTTACTTGTAAATGAAAATTAATATCTTGAAAGTAAGCCATTAAGATATGAAAGTAATATTACCTATTTTTCTATAAATTTTTATTTAAGTACAGAGATAATCGCGTTATTGGTTTTACACGCTATTCGATATGTAAAGATGTAAAGATGATTTAAAAGATTGAAAACTCAATGTATTTAATTAATAATCCGAAGTGAAATTTCTTTTAATTTACCACCTAAAATAAATTATAAATATATAAGTCACTTATCTTTAAGTTAGAAAGAAACTAAAACATCTTATTCTTTTATGTTTTAAATATCTTTATAATAAAATGCTGCATGTGAAAAGTACTTTTTGTTTATCCGACTCAACGATCTGTTTACTTGTACACATGCGCACAATGTTGAGCCGCTGTTGTCCTTTGTGGCACCACAAAAAATAGGTAAACAAAGTCAGGACACGTAGGCCAAAACACAAAACACGTAGCACAACAATTAGAGAGCGGCCTGCAGAGGTCCCTCTACTCACACTCTCTCTTTTTCTCTCTCCTCTCGGCAAAGTGCAGTGCTCACTCACACTCTCGCATAGGATGAAGGCAGGACACCGCCCGAATGGCCCACTTTTCGGATGGGTTGTATCGAATTTTTATAATGCAGCACAACAAAACTCGCGATTGGGAGAGGCGGGCCAAAGAAAACAGTACGGGGAGGCACGGGAAAACAGAGAGGACGAGCACGTGGCACGGACGAAGTGGTCTACGCACACGGGAAAATCACGGGGAGTACCAGCTTCTCAAGATTCCAACGATTAGTTCACAGCGGAAAAGCAGCGCGCCTCGTGTCGACGAATTGACACTGAAGAGGAAAGTCGCCAAGTAGCCAGGCAGCCAGGCAGCCAAGCAGTCCAGCAGTTTCAGTAGCGTTTGAAGTGGCAGCCGCGCTGCACCACCACCGAAAAAAGGACACCAATACAGGACAGGCAAGGCGAGCCAACCCAAGCAGCGGAATAAAGGCGAACGGCTCGCTCTGTGGTTGACATTATATTGCATGCAACTAAATCACACACACACACACACACACACACACACACACACACACACACACACACACACACACACATTTATGCAGCTGCCCACCCCTCGTCCTTTTTGCACCGCCCCTCGTTCGCTCATTCGCTCGTGCAACGTGGCGTATGGGTAACAATGGAGAGCAGCTCGAACACACACGCGGATATCTTCCTAAGCGCCATTTATGGCATTTGATATGCTAATTTGCACGTATTCAAAGAGAGAGCGAGCGAGTGAGAGGGAGAGATGAGAGAGAGCAAGGACATCCACCACCAGGATGAAAAGGTGCGAGTATGACCATCTGCTCATCGTCATCTTCCTTTTGGCCAAGTGGCTCACGAGTATCTCAGAGTTATGAGTTACTGGCGCTCTGTTTTGATGGCTCTTCAGCGCGACCCAAGTCCTGAGTGGCAGCAGCTTAGCTGTCTCCTGATGAGCTGCACTTGGTCACATGGACACTCTCGGGGATTTCATTAATTAGTTAGTCCTGAATAGGAGAGCCCCTAAAAAAATCATGTCTTTTTTATCCACTTACAAATATAAAAACGGATCGTAAAAAAGTTCTCATATTGATAAATTTACTTTATATTATTAACTACACCTAAGCTAAGCCAAAAATATTTTGTTAGAAAAAATTTAAATTTTATAAAGTCCAGTTTATATATTATTCCTAATAACATGAGACATGATTAAATATTTAATGCTCTGGTATTTCCAAAAGAGGTTCTTATAATATCTAAATATATATTTTACCAAAAATCGTTTTTATAATATCTTAATTTATATTTTATCACAAATAATATGAGACAAAATATAATATTTTTTAGAATTTGGAATAAGGATTACGTTTTTATCAAATCAAATTAATATTTTAACCATTAATAATGATATAAATATTTTGGGAATTATGTTTTAAATATGAGTTTACTTGATGTATAAATAGTCAAAACAACGTAATGTTACTTGTATAGTATTCCTGAATTGATTCTTAAAAATAACAAATATGAGTGCTAGTCCTATAAATTTTATTGAATTTAAAACCCAATTTTTAAAGCGTACCTAGTTTACTAAATGGCCAGAAAATCTTTTCCTTTAATAAGCTTGCAACCACAAACCATTTAAAAATGTGTATTTTAAAGGCTTCTTTTTTAACTAGTCTTCTTATATTTTTAAAACTGCTCTATTACTTATTTTTTAACACAAGTTATACCCATCTTCGACTAAAAAGTAGCGCATTAAGCAAGTTCGTTGAAGTCCTTTGGCTCCAACCACCACCGAAGAGAAGCGCCACATTTCGTGCGCTCTCTCAGCTCTCTGCAAGCTGCAAGGATTCTTACCAATACCAGTGCACCAGGCAGCCCAGTGAAAATGCATATACGACACAGAGGCGGAGTCTGAAAGCTGGCCATGTAAAATCCACAAAGACTTTATATATTAAAAGGGGAGGTGCCATCGAACTTTGGTATATACTGCCAAAAGATGTGAAGTTTCCGCAGAAAAGACAAAATGGCGGGCAGTTTTTTCTCAGAGTTTTTCAAAAAAGATCATTTTGCAAATAAGCCCCCGGAAGAAACGACGCCTCTGCGCTTTGTTTACGAGTTGTTTGGTGGGAAATTCGATACAACAACAGGCGGCAGGCAGTATAAACACGATACAAGTCACGAAGAGTGAGTCGCCGAGAGCGAAAGTACGGCTCCTTGTATCGCAATTTTCCTCGGCTCGCTCTCGGCTGCAAAAATTGCGATACAAAATGTGTGTGCTGCACTTCGGGACTGAGAAAGTGGCATCCTGTTGAGCCTGGCCCCGAATCAGCTGACAGGACTCGGCTTTTGACACCTGCTAACCGGCGGTGTCCCGGTCAAACCGGCGTCCAGTTTGACACTTTCCGGACACTATCTTTCGCTGGACATGTGACATTGTCGGATGTTGGCCAAAAACTTCGTCATCCATCCTACAGTCCCTGAAAAAAAACCCATGAATAATACTCCTCGTTTATCGGTGGCAGACAGACTACTCCCCCTGCTCCATCACTCCTTCACCATCTCCTTGGCAAATTATGCAAATTTCAGATTTCCAAAGCAAACATTTACTTTACTTTTCAGCGCAGACAGCGTTCGTGGCCCGGCGGCGCATTGCAATCTCCATCGCTCCTTTTGGCCATTTGACATTTGTTAAGTTTTCTTATCGCGCGCTTTCATTAGCGGCCGTCGTCTGGGACCTTCTAATTGTCTTGCAAATTAGTCCGCCAGCGATGGCAAAAAAATGCGACCCCAAAACAGGGAGCTCCCCGGGTTTATTTACCCATCATCATCCATGGAATCCACCGGGATGAGGAGCATGTGGCATCTGCTTCAAGGAAATGAAAAGTAAACAATCGCATGTGAGCGGGCGGGCCACCCTCTGTAATTTTTGAATGGCGATTTCCGTTGAGCACAAGGACGTGCCTCCGTGCCTGTCGAGGATTAGCAGGATTCCAGACACGGCAGCTGCCGAGCATCACCAGGTCCGGCGGAAACGCACAGCAGACACGGCCCACTCCGACGTTCTATATTTTTATAGACTTTTTCACACAGAGTAGCATAATACAGACCGAACGGCAATCGATTAACTGCCAAGGGGAAGGTTTTAAAGTGGCCTTAACCAAAGTCTAGCGATATGATGTATGACCTGGAGTTAGACTTGAATATTCCATTAGGTTTGCTTTAAAACAGTTCACAACTTATAATTTCAACTCAGTTCACAAACAACCAAATATATTTTAAAAAACATCATTTTCAAGAAATTTAATATTAACTTAAAAATCTATTTTACATTTTTACTATTAACAATGATATCATTTTTATGAAATTATCTTTGTAATACAATTCTCTTCGGAAATGGTCTTATGTTCTAGAAAATAAATTTAGCAACCATTTTAAATTAAACTTGAAAAATTCTTGTGTACAAAAAAAAAAAAAGAAAACAATTTAAAATTAGACTTGAAAATTTTCAGAAATAATTGTCCTCTTATTTTAAAAGAAATTAGCTTTTCATAAATAATTCATATAACAACTCACAAAAAAAATCACATAATTTTCTTTTTTAATGCCACAATTACATTTTCAGATCAATATGATATCTAATTAATTTAATTAATTTTTTATCTCAACATTTTTTGAAGAAAATATCATAATTATATTTTTATGTTTAATATTATAAGCAAAAACATATCTATAAAAATATAAAAATAAATAGGCACTTGTCGGCGAGATCATTTGTAATATTTCATTGAGTGAGGTCGCAAAAATATATGCATAAAAAAGATGTTGCATTTTGAAACCATTTCCTATGAAGTTAACGAAATGTCTGTTTTGAAGACAAACTGTATCCCATACCTTCTACACTTTCCTTGACATCCAAAATAAAGTCAATGTGCTGTCATTGGCATAATTTACAGATACTTAAAAGCATCACCACCCTCTTGTCTTCTGCGGAAAATGTCTGTTAATTTAGGTCCCCAATATTTCATTTATTGCTCCGAGCAGAAGACAAAATGGTTGTGGCTCTAATTGAAAAATTATTGTGCCATAAAATATGCAAGCTTCATAAAGAATATGTTCTCGAGTTTAATTGGCTGCAAAAGTTTTAAGTACTTTTCACTCTCGGCGAGAGTTTAATACAATTTTGAATAGTTGTGCGAATGTCCAGTTGTTTATGCCCGCCAATTTGATGGCTTCACTTGGCCAAAAGTTAAAGGAGAGACATCTGCAAATCGCAGAGAATAAAGGCAAAACTTCTTTATATATATTTTGGTGTGCATAATGAAATCCCTCGAGTGACTTTGCCAGCAAAAACATTCTGCAAAATTACCCTTAAAACAAAAATGCATTATTGTCATCTAAAATGCAAGCATGCATTATCCTGTCACAGGTCCTTTGAGAGTTGGCTTTTTGCGTTGGAGCTCCAGCTTCAGTTGCTTTGCTCCTCTGCAGCAACGTTTATTATCCCTCCTCATCCTTATCCTGGAAACGAAAACTCAGACAATGCTATAGTTCGTGTCCTTCATAAGCCAGTGAGCTGGGATCAATTTGCCAGCAGCCAGAAACCTTTTTAGTTGCGCATGCAAATATGACAAACACACAGTATAGTATATATATAGTAGCCCTTCCCAATCCCAATCCCATGCCCAATCCCATGCCCAGTTCCAATCCGAATCCCAAGCACTCCGATCTAATCCACTCCTTTTGGCCCTTTGGCCATCTGCGTCTCGTGTTAATGCCGCATTCTTGGGGGAAATTATCGCTGTCGGAGGACCGAGACTTCGGTGCTGCACTTGGCCACAAAAATTTGAATCTACCAAATTACATATTGAGATATTATTGCACTGCGCCCGAAAATTCGCTTGCCGGCAAAGTGCGAATTTGACAATTTTTTCCCTCCTTTTTCTACTATATATTGTACTATACTTCCTTCGGGGCTGGAAATTGCTTTCAAATTATTTTGTCAGCTGCGGAAACGTGGTGGCGACTGCGCTCCAGTTCCAGTCCGGGTTCCACACTTCGTTTCCGGTCCGCAGTCGTCACTTGCGTGCAATTTGCGGCCAAGGCGAGTGAAAATTGAACACAGATTATTATTGCTTATTTCTGCATGCGTTGCAGGATCGCCGTGCGATGGCCGGATTACAGTCATAAAAGCCGAGCGAGGGAAATCATACGGTTATGACCGGGGTCGAAGTCTCTAGCCAGGCGGAACCCGCTCTAATGAAAGCCCGTGCTCGTGGGTAAACCAAATCATAACCGAACAACGGTTAGGTAAACCACGGCGGAAACTTTGAATATGCAGAAACGGAATGTCAATCTGTGCAATACCCTGTAAACTAAATTGAAATTTATTTATAAAGAAATATGGGAGTCATCGGCAGAGCAAACACTAATTGACTAGTTATACTGTTTATCTATCATTTCTTAAAATTCGAATAATTAATACATGCCTATAAATATATTTTAATATTATTATTATTTATTTATTATTATTTGTATTTGTGCAAAATATTGGTCTACTACATTCAGAACAATTACGCAGAACAATAACAATAAATATTTGACTTGATCAAGGGTATACAAGACTTAAATAATATAAGTGTATCAGAAATTCGATCGAATAGAATTTTAAATGGACCAGTCTTTAAAGCAGAACTTGTCAAATTTTCAAAATATTTATTAAAGTTTAAATTGAAAACCCAAATACTTTTATTGAAAATACAAAGAAAATTGTATAGCTTAGGCAATAGAATGAGGAACTGAAAACATTGTAAGCCTTAAATATTTAATTCGGAATATTCTGAGAGAGTTTACTAATAATTCTGGAAAAAAATTGAAAAAAGGTTACACCCAAACACTGTCAGCCCACCAAGTATATCCCCAAAAAAGACAGGGTATTCGAACGGCAACGCTTAGAGCAAAACTGAAACCACAGGCGCAAATTGAAAGACAATAAATGTGCGCAGTCATATGGAAAATTGTGATATTCACGCAATTTAATTAACATGAATAAATATTGTTACAGGCAGGCGGCGGGTGGTTTGATGGTGTCCCCAGATCCCGCCCAGACTTGTACGACAACAATGGCAGTAAGCAATGCGAACAATCCGGGCAACCAGCTAACGAGCGGCCAGCATGGCGTATGAGTAACGGCGGCCGTTTGATTGTCTGCATGCAAAACAAAACAACAAACTGTGGGCAAACAAATCGAAAGGCACGCCAAACTCCGGGGAATAGCGGCAAAACAAAAGGCTCGTCGCTCGTCAGACGGAAAACATCATAAATCCCCGAAAATCTGACTGTGTTATTCTTCGAAAGCCGAGCTCATCAGCGGTTGGCAGTTTTGGCACGGGATTGCCGTCGCACGCCTGCACACATTGTCAGACACTTGAATTGCCAGCCGGAATCGTGGCTAATCAGAGCATTTTGCAGGAGTTTAGCGACAAATGTCGCGACATTGCCACGCCACTTCGAGGGCTCTTCATCAGTTGGTTTTCAATGGGATTTGGCACAGAGAGAATAATTTGTAACTCATTAAGGGCTAAAATAATAGAAAATATATGAAAATCTATATTTAACTTGCTGTCATAATAACTAAATATTTCTTCAATTTATTAGTAAAACGTTAGATAATAAATAAGATACACACTTCTCTTATAATCAACCTTTATTTATCGTTCTACACAAAAAAGTTTAACAGCAAAATTATAAGATAATTTAAATCTTGTAGATGTTGAGTTAATAAAACCCAAATCAATCAGTTAACATAATATTTTCGCAGACAAATATAAACAAATATATTTAGATATTGGTAGAAATATTTAAAAAAAAAAAGCCCTTTCCTCTTCCGATTAAATTCCGATTAAATGAAATTAAATCTTTAACTTGAAACCATTAGTGTGTAATCAATAAACTATCTTACAAATAATATTACCATTTGAATGTAGTAACAATTTTTCTTGAAGTGCAAAAATGTTTTTGGCTTGAGCTGTGTCCCCGAGATTCGGATTGAAATCACAGCTTGACTGCCTGCGACACGGCTTTATTAGGGTGTCGCTTTCAGCTTTCAGGGTCGCCTTTTTGTTTTTACCCCGTCACCTCTGACCGCATGACCGACATGATTCCGGCGGATTAAGTGGAAATGTCAGAATTTGTTTCCTCCATTTACGACTTCGCTTTCATTATGCTAATCAAAGAAGAGCTTGAAATGAATAAACCCAAAATTAATACTCATTTTGCCAAACAATTTCATTATCAAAAATTTCAATTAGTTACACGATTGAATCGACAGGAGATTTCAACAACTTTTTAAGGTCCTGGGTGTGGTGTGAGTGTGTATTAAAATCAATTGTAAAATCAGTAAAAAGTAAACTCTAACTGGCGGCGCAAAGTTTCGCGCGATTCACGATTGAAATCTTTTACGGCCAGAAATTATGAGAACATTTTCAATTTGAGTTCTCGTTCTCGTTCTTGGGGTGCGGGAAGCAACAGAGCGTGACACAAAAGTAAAGCAAACTTTTCGCTTACAGTTTCATGAGCATGGGCCAACAATCGCTTCACTTCAGTGGCGAAGACGTCGATTTGCCAACAGTAAGCAGCACCACCACCCTTGCCAACGGACACCACCACCCCTAAACCCAAACTCAACAACAATTCGCATAACAATAACAATAACTTGGCTGCAAACATTTCAATACCAAGATTCAGCCACGTTCCAATTGTCGGGGCCAGCCAAAGTGTAGATAGATGGATGAGGTCTCTGCACAGAGAAAAAGGGTTTACAATTTTCTATGAGATATAGAATTCATTTCTAGACAAAGCGATATTAAAATCAATAAGTTAGGGCCATTTTTTGTCATACAAATATAGGCAAGCTTTCCTCTGGCGATTAAATTAGATGAAATTAACACTTTAATTAAAAACCATGAGCATGTAAGCAAGAAAGTGTACTACAAAGTTTTCGTTTTCAAAGTTACAAATAAACTATGATTAAATACATATTTTATAACTGTCAAATTTCAATTAAATACTAAAGTACAAAGTTTAGTTAATAATTAAGAAGCTTACTAGTGTACGCTTTCTTGAGATTGGTTTATCTCTTAAAATAAAACAATTGAAGTGGTACAGTACAGTACCACACTTTGGTAATATTTAACTACATTTTTCCTAAATGCGCATAGTCAATTTCGGGTCATTTTAAACTAAAGGAATATAGTTTTCTCAGTGTGTAGTAGTAAGCCCAATAATTTTTCACAGTGGATAATAAGAAAGGGTACCCGGGGATGTTGGAGCAACCGGTTAACTTTGGCCGCAAGTCAAGTGTTTCGGGCGTGGGTCCAGGAACAACACTCCTCACCCACTAGCTCGAGTGAAGCGCTCGGAAAAAAGTCAATTGTTCAAGTTAAAGTGAAACTTTCTCAAGAAGTTTTCCCAGACGCAGCCGCCATTCTTTTCGTGCCTTTATCTGCGCTGAAGTGGGGATCTGGGAACTGGAATTGGGGGTCTGGGTCTTTGGCGGGGAGAACGCTTCAATGGTTGCCATTGACACGTTAACTTTGCAATTGTAGAAGCCCCCCGAATTCCCCCGTTTTCCTGATTGCCGTCCCATAATCTCGTGTCTGCCGCTAAACGCAGTTTTTCCGCTTATTTTGCCAGCTGTGCGTCCTGTGTAGACAGTTCCTTTCGCTGCGTGCCTTATCTCCGCCTTAAACATTGCCGGACAAATTGTCCTTTAAAGCTCAAGCTTTAATTCTTTTTTTTTTTTTTTTTGCTCATCCCTTGCAAAATGCACGGCACTCTCATATTTCAAATGTAAAGTTCATGTTTATATTTTGGCTAATGTTTTTTCGAGTCGAGTATGCTGGACAAAATCAAAAAAAAAAAAAAAAACAGAAGTAGCCGAGAAAAAAGGGAAGAACAAACCGCTTTTGAGTTTGACACCAGCTGGTGCCTGCCTGCGGTTGTCCTGGGGGAGGGGCGTGGCATGTCCCCCTACTCCCCTGGTGTCGAACCCCTCCCCCACCTCCCTCTGGCAACCCTTCACGCCCCTCAGGCACTCCCTGCATGCCGCTTGCTGCCTGAAGTGGCCGTAAAAGCTTTCAGCATTAATAGCTTGAGTGAGTTTCAATACATATTGTCAATATGGCCATTGGCCAACGCCAATACAGTGTGAAAAATTACACAAAACCATATTCATTACAATATTTAGCATAAAAGCTGTTAAGAACTAAAGCAAAATTTTATGTTATCATTTGCAAATAATAATGTGTGTTTAATGGCAATAAAAACAATACAAAATTAACTTAAATCATAGTTAAATAAAAAGTTATATTAAAGGGGTATTTAAATTGAACTAAATTCTTAATTCCAAACTTTTTTTCTGACCCTATATTATAATATTTATATTTATTAATTTATTTTTAATGACTTTAATGTAAATAATTTTTAACAACTTAAAAAAAAAATTGGCTTTATGCATTACAAAATATAATTCCTCCATAAAGCAATATGGTTTAACTGTAAACAAAAATGTGGCCATAAGTTTCTTATATCTACAGTAGAGTAAACACTGGGCTATTGACCAGAATGTAGATGGAAATTGATAGCGATATTGTTATATTTCTCTCTCTGCACACACACAATGGCACACACGCACACCATTGCAGCGACGGCGAGTCGCCAAATTGATGACAGTTTGCCAGAGTCAGTTGCAAAAGCCGCAGCAGCTTCTATGGGTCCATGTGTCCCTGGATCCATGGGTCCATGGGTCGATGTGGATGTGAATGTGGATGACTTTGGCGATGGCTATGCATATGTGAACCCACCGACCCTGGCTAAATACATCGAAATGGCTTTGGCTATTTGTTTTTGGGGTTTCGAAAGGGTAGGGAAGGGGGAGCTTAGACTGTTATGGCTTGTGCCATTTTGGCACTTTGTAATTGCCTTGTTTGCCCTGTTGTTTTTCCTTTTTTTTTTTTTTGGTTTTGGCCTACTGTTCTTGTTGTTATTGCCATGTTGGCAACGCATTTGGCTTCGTTTTTTGCGGCCTGGCCGGGGTTTTAGCTAAATCTATGCCATGAGCCATGTTTTTATATATCAATATTTGCCCAGTGCCATGCAATAGGGGAATTACTATACAATACATACAGGCGGAAATTCGCCTCGACTTTCGGTCTCGCTGGGTGATAAGCCTTTGCTTATGGCCGGCATAAAAATCTATTGCCCTCCGCAATCGGGCAATTAAGGAAATATGAAATAAATTGGATAAAGATTTGTAATATCCGGGGCGAAGACTGTGCAGCCAAAATAAAAATAATTTTCCAGTCGTTTTGCAATTGAAATTCCACAAGGCCTCACACTCGCACACATTTCCCAGCAATTCCTTGGGCCCCAGCGGATGCATTTAGAATTTATGTGGCACTTGTCGGCCCGAAAGTCGCGCGAATTTATGTCCCGCATTCGCTGACCACTAACCGTTGGTCGAACGCCGGGCTTAAGAATACTTTGTCCGCCGGCCATCGTTTGTTTTATTGTTATTGTGCAGTCATGACTTAAAAATTTGTCGCTCCGGCTTTTCGGGACCCCAAAAAAACGGGAGGAGGACTCCGAAACTCAGGCCGTGCAACACCGACATCCATGACAATGTAAAGCAATTTCCGCCGCTGGAGCTTCGCTTTTATTTGGCCATTTGTTTGTCGGCCCAGGCAACCCGTGCCGGTGCCCCACACTCGCAAAAAGTTTACCCTTCATTTTGGGTATTCGCTATAAAAGTTAAATTGTACTTTAGCAGTTAACCCTAAAAACGAGAGAAATTTATAGGCCTAACTTTTAAAGATATTTTATATTTGCAATAAGTGTAAAAGAATTAATTAATTAGGAATTAATTAAGAAATTGGTGGAAAAATCGTTAAAACATAAGTATTTTTAGTTTTCTAAAATGCGTCCAAAAATATGCTGCGAAAAAAAGAAGGGCTTTTTTCAATCTACTTTCGGATACAAAATAAATCGTAACATACGTTTATATACCATTTACCAGCATTTAATAATACTTTTTTAAAAAAGTTTAAGCTAGCAAAATTTTAATCAAAATTTTTAAGAATAACATAACTGCTTAGAACAGTTTTGGGCCTTTAAGTAAGTCGTCAAAAGAGAATGCTGTCTTTCAGCATTTTTCCATTTCAGATTTCGGATATTTTAGGCCACCTTAAAAATACTTTTTCAATGATATTATATTTTTTCCGAGTGCAGAACCTCGGGATCCGTATGCCGGATCTTGATGCACGCGGATTTGTCTATGGCAGCCGGAAGTCGCAGCTCGGGGAAATGGAGATGCACTCGTATGCGCAGTGCAAATTTATCGTTTTTAATTTGCCGCAAGCGCAAAGAGACGAACAAAAAAATCACATACGAGGCTAGTAAATAAAAACAACAGCGAAATATTGAGAGGCGACAGCCGTCAAGGGGGGCTGAGAAAAATGGCAGCCGCGTAATGCCTTTAATGGTTTTTGCATGCACCGAGAGCCACCCTTTCTTGCATTTTAGCCTGCGGCGACTTATTGAAAGCGATAAATAAGGATTT